CTTGCATGCATTGATTCACTCTCATATTTGTTTAAAATGCAGATTCCCTCAGCTCTATTCCTTCTAAATTCTAATTCTTTCCATGTGGGGTAGAAAGCAAGAATATGTTTTCACAACCAGCTTTGCAAGATATTTTGATGCAGGTAGCCTACAGATATTATTAAGAAATGATGGCTTATGTTTAAAACTATGAAAGCATTAGGGGATGAATTCTGTCCCCCACCAAATTTATATGTTGAAACCCTAAACTCCAGTACCTCAGCATGTATGTGGAGATATGGCCTTTAAAGAGGTGATTAAGTTAAAATGGGACCATTAGAGTGTACCCTAAGCCAATATGACCAGTGTCCCTATAAGAAGACATTAACAGACAGACCATAGAAACAGAGGGACCACTATGTGAGGACATGCAAGAAGGTGCCATTTACAAGTCAAGGAGAGGCCTCAGAAGAAACCAAACCTGCAGACACCTTCGCCTTGGACTTCCAGCCTCCAGGACTGTGAGAAAATAAATTTCTGTTGTTTAAGCCACGCAGAGTCTGGGGTATTTTGTTAAGGCATTCCTAGTAAACCAATACAATAAGCAGTGTTTTGAAGTGGAAATAATAGCTGATATCATGATTCAACAATTAAAGTTCCTAAAATGTTTTTTTATTAAAGACAAGTAAATTAGCCATATTAAAGTAATTAAAATTATTTTTTTTAATTATTATTATTATTTTTGAGACAGAGTCTCACTCTGTCGCCAGGTACCAGGCTGGAGTGCAGTGGCACAATCTCGGCTCACTGCAACCTCCACCTCCAGGGTTCAAGCAATTCTCCTGCCTCAGCCTCCCGAATAGCTGGGACTACAGGTGCACGCCACCATGCCCAGCTAATTTTTGTATTTTTAGTAGAGACGGGGTTTCACCATGTTGGCCAGGATGGTCTCGATCTCTTGACCTTGTGACCTCATGATCCGCCCGCCTCAGCCTCCCAAAGTGCTGGGATTACAGGCTTGAGCCACCACGCCCGGCCAATAATTAAAATTATTTGAGAGCTTTTGTTTTTCTAGGCTTATCAATAAGTAGCTGAAACTGACTTCACAAGAGGGAAAATGATGCTAAAATATTATTTCTATAGGTAAAGTTACCTATCATTACACCACTTCCCTGGGCTTTATAAAATACCCATAATCCAATGAGAATAGACCATATTTTTAGTATACGTACATTCTCTCACTAAAATATTGATTTTATTCAATCACATCTGCATACTTATCTGTATCTACATATTAGCATCTATCTGTCTGTCTATCTATCAATCATCTATTCATCATCCATGCCCAGATTCACCATTCATCCATCTTTCCATTCAGCCATCTATCCATCCATTTAATCAGTATTTATGGAACACCTGCCATGTATTAGATGCCATTTAAGTACTGAAACCTACCTCTTATTGCCAGACAAATAAATGCCCCCTAAAATTTTCAAATGAAAACTATAGAGTAGAAGTCACAAATTCACATCTCTTTAGAATGCATTCAGGTAAGGAAATAAATGAAGTGCTATTCCAGTGAATTGGTATGTAAAAGGAGAAGTCACAAGTCAGCTCTAGAGAGTTCTAAGTACAGTTTTGCCAAATCTTCCAAAAATTTAAGAAAATCCATACATTTGGGTTTTAATGTGAATTTTCCATTTTTAATGCTGGTGAAATAATCTGGATTTTTTCACAAACACTATATGAGCCAAACACAACATAGCAATTATTTAGATACCTAGATATCTCCAGAGGCTACCAGTTTGCAACCTCTGCTCTAGATTGTGAGTACAGTCCTGCAAAGCGCCAAGTTTAAGAAGAGCTCTAAAAGAGGTTAAAAAAAAAAAAAAAAAAAAAAAAAAAAGGCCGGGCGCGGTGGCTCAAGCCTGTAATCCCAGCACTTTGGGAGGCCGAGGCGGGTGGATCACGAGGTCAAGAGATCGAGACCATCCTGGTCAACATGGTGAAACCCCGTCTCTACTAAAAATACAAAAAATTAGCTGGGCATGGTGGCGCGCGCCTGTAATCCCAGCTACTCAGGAGGCTGAGGCAGGAGAATTGCCTGAACCCAGGAGGCGGAGGTTGCGGTGAGCTGAGATTGGGCCATTGCACTCCAGGCTGGGTAACAAGAGCGAAACTCCGTCTCAAAAAAAAAAAAAAAAAAAATGCCAACTAGTCCACATCTGGTATGTTATGTTCACTGTCTCACTTCTGGTTAGTTCACAGTAAATAGTTTGGCTTTCAAAGGATATTCTTGTTGCATTGACCATTTAATAACCAAACAAACCTGATTATTGCCAAATATCTTGTCCTCTATGGTTACAAAAGCATGGTGTACATGAGGCAGAGTAATGTCCTCATCCAGAAAAGATGAGATAAAGCTCTGTTGCCACTTTCATCATAACCTTCTCTCACCTCTGCACAAGTCTACAAGGTCAGGAACCATTTTTGTTTGCCCTCTTGATAAGCTTAGCAATCACTATTTGGCATAGTCTCCTGCAGTATTGAGTTTGATACCTACGTGCTGAACTGGGTTTAAATCCACTATGTTCTTCAATTCTGGTTTTAAATCTGGAATGGAAAATGACTACTGCTGAAATAGTGCCCATTTAATTAATTTTTTTTATCCCTCAGGTCATGTCTATATGACATAAAAATAACGAGCTGTTTTAGAGAGTTTATTAGGCAAAATAATCAGGTAAGTCACACTTGGAATGATATAGAGATCATCTAAGCAAATACTATACCTCTGTCCAAATCATGTCTTGCTCTCATTCTATTTTGTTTTAGACTGGTAAGACAGGCACAATAGAATAAGTAAAGCACAGGTATTTTCAATGACTTTTTTGTTTGAAGTTCTGCCTCAGTCTGAATATCATACTAGTTGGCATTGCTTTAATAACAGTAAAATATGATTTATGCATCTCATCTCCATAGCTCAGCAATCAACATAGAGGAATACTAGTACTTTGTTTTAACTAAGTGAATAATTCACGTATGTCCTTAAGATGTAGAAAGATCTACTGACAAATAAATAACCAACTAAAACATTCTTCCCTGAAACAATTTTTAAAGTATCTTAATTTAAAAAGTAATTTTAAACAACCACCATGGAAATAAGTGTGAGCAATTTATCATTATGCAAATACCACCTGCAACGTTCATGTTTCACATTTATCATGAAACTCAAGATTTGTAGACAAGTATAAGTAAAGGGTGTCTCTTTAAGAAAAACGGTGAGAACCCGGAGTGTTAGCACACTGTGGATGCTGATGAAGTCCTGTTTTACTCAACATGGTCAATAAAATGCAAGTATTTCTTACAGTTCAGAAATGCCTCTGGACTTGAAACACCTATTGCATAATTAAACTCAAAGCCTATTCTAACTGGTAACATCCACAGTGAGTCCTTTTCCATTCCTGTTTTTCCAAAAAGTAAATCCTCCGGGTTAAACAACCAGATTCTGGCTTCTTAATGGTCTTTCTTCATCTTTTCTACGACAAACTTCTGAAGCTCAACCTGATTTTACAAATTGTTCTGCTCCGTTGAACACACACACTAGTTGACCAGATGCCTTTTCAAACATAATTAACACATCTGTAAGTTCTATGTTATATATTTCCCAGTATTAGCACTATAAGCATGTATAAGAGCTATCCTTTAATATTAGGAAACCAACAATATTTGAACTAAAAACCCAAAACTTTTGTAAAACATTCTAATTATGTGGTCGATTTCAGGCTGTCTGATTCCATATTACAAACCACCAGATTCTCACAAGTGATTTCTCTTTGCAGAAGAAGAGAGAAGTTGCTGCAAATATCAGATATTATCTAAAAGCTTAATCTGAAATAAGTGATGTAATTGGGGATTTTAATATTTTTCTTTGAAAAAATAAGAGAATTAATATCTAGTTGACTTGTTACATGAGTCTAGTTAAGTTCTCCGAAACTGCCGCACCTGCCTTTAGAACTGAGAGTTCTCACGTCTCTTTGAAGAACTGTAGCGAAAGAAATGATCCTGTTTCAGGTTGAAATGTGAGAGAATAGTAAGGACAACACATTTCTAAATTTGACTTTCAGAATTTTTAACTTAAATGTGAATGTCTGGACCAAAGTAAGAATTTACTGTTGCAACAAATAGAGATAATGTAGACTAATGAAGTCAGAAAACATCAAAATTGTTAAAGAATTTAGAGCACATCTGAGGGTAGCCCTGAGGATTAAATGAGGTAATGTGCATGACAGTCCATACCTAAGTGTTGAGCACTTGGTAAGAATTTGGACTTGAATGACCCAATCTAACACTACAATTTTACAGATAAGAAAACTGAGGCAAGAAAGGCAAACTCTGAACATATACACATGGAAGGATTGGGCAAAAGTATAATGGAAATAATTGGTGTAAAGTAATAAAACTATGTTCTCTGATATTATGCTGTTTTAGTTATTACTCAAGAGATACAAAACAGTTTTCATATCATCTTTTCAAGGGACTTTTCTAATTTTCCCCTATGAATGGCTCCATTCTATTCTTGAAGATTTTATGTATGGTTCTAAAAATAAAACTAAGTTGAGGAAAGGCATATCCCTAATATTGTACTTACATTATTTATTCTAAAAACATTTACTTAAACTTACTCCAGGGTTTGACAACTTAATGCAATGGAAGCTCGAACCACATCAGTTTAACAAATTCCCTCCACAGCCCAAAGTTTCTCTTTGCTGACCGCCCTGCACCCCATCCCAACCCATTCAGTGGCTAGTTTGCTGTTTTCAGCACTAAGGGAGTCTCTGAAAGTCCACCAAGCTGCTTCTGGCTAGATCTGAGGAAACCAGGCATTTCTGTCAATATTTATCTTCACAGGTATTTTTACCTTCATTTTTTGTATGCCTGGAACTCAAATGAAACACCAGCTTGTAAAGGCAGGGCCCAACCCGGAGTGGCTTGGCCATCCAACTGCACCTGCCATCCTTTACCTGTTTGCAAGTCCACAGCTCTCTCTTCTCCATCCAGAGAAACAATCCTGAAGTTATAGATGGTTCCTGCTTGTAAATCATGAAGGTTACATCCATATGTGGTGTTGTCTATCCGAAAGGGATGGCACCATGTGCCCCCCAGGGTGTCACTGCTATAGATGAGGCTAAAGTTACAGGGTGGCCTCAAAATTCTCCACTGGATAGACACGGAATGGCTGGAGACCTTGGACTCCACCAGGGTGAAGTTACATCTCTCTGGCTCCGCCAGTCCAGTCTGCAAAGGAATCAGACACAACAGTTTAAATCCACCGTCTGGATTGCCCACGGACGTGTCCCCAGCAAGCTCCTCAAGCCACCCTTTCCTTTCTACTTATCCTTTGTCCCTAGCCTCAGCCAGTCCTTTAGCCCTCTGGCCGGAGAAGAGGCTTGCAGGGGAGGTGAATGACAACTTGCTCCCTAGCTGTTGTCCCTTGAGAGCGGCTGGAGAGAGAAGGTAGCATTTTTTGCTTTGACAGCAGGATAAGCTGTCAAAGTTGTCATTCTGGGTTGGGGACTCGGCAGAGGATCATTCTTCCCAAGGCAGAAGATGAAATTTTGCCAGCTCCCTCTTCAAAGCACAACCGGAGAGAAAGTGGAGTGGGGACGTGGTTTTCGGCGGGGAGGGGGCGCATCAGCTCTGACCCCTTCTAGGGCCACTCACCCGCAGCAAGCTAAAGGCGATCCACATGGCCAGCCCGGCTCCATGGCTCAGCATTGCGCTCAGTAGTTAGGACCCAGACAAGATCGAGGGGGCAGGACGTGGGGCGGCCCGAAGGCCGGGGCGGAGGTCACCTGTTGCGCGCGTTTAGCGCGCTTCCCTCGGGGCTGGAGATGCGCAGGGGCCACTGCGGCCACGGCTGCTGCTGCTTCTCCTGCCGCCCCGGGCGGGCTGCGGACGCGAGAAGCGGCGGGGGCAGGCAGCACGCCGCCCTTCCCACGCTGCCATTCTGACCCGCGCTGCCTCGCCCCAGCCCCGTCCGCTGACTTCCGCAATCAAAAGGCAATTTCCTCGTCTCCCGGCAAAGGAACAATGCGCCGGCAAGGGAGGGAGCCCCGAGGAGCCAAAGCCTGAGGCTGCCAAGGGGCCCGAGGTTGGCCAAGCTGCCCCCGCTGCCCCGCGCCGCCACCTTCCCGGCCAGGGGTCCCGTCCGGCTCCTCGGGGCTCTGCCTCCTCCTCCTCCTCCTGGACTCTCCTTTCTCCCCACTCTGTGTTCCTCGACCCAGCCGTCTTAGCCACAATTAGTGCTTGCTCCCTCTCACTTTCCAGGCTCCCACCCCCGCCCCCTTCCTCCCTCCACACCCAGCGTCTCCCCTCCCTATCTTCCTTCCTATCTTCCTCATCTGCTTTCTCCAGGACCTCTTTTCCCAGGATTAAACTTGACCTCGGCACATTTTCCCAGGTCACCAGCACTCTCTCCTGAAGCCTTTTATTAGAGTGCTTTGCCCTTCTCACTTCAAAGCGTTCATTTGTCCTGGTGGCATCCCGACACCAGCAAGAGAAAAAGATCCCCAAAGCGTTGTCAACTTGACCATTCTTTCTCCCAATCACTTTCCCTTTTCTCTCGCATAGGTTTGTATCCTCCCTAAATCATACGGAAATAGTGCCAAGGACAAATGTAATCACTATCAAATGTTCAACCCACAGTGAACAGTTTTATCACTGACCATCCGGTAGTTAGAGCCATTTCATCCCTAATGGTCCAACCAAGAGAAGAAAGCCATATAAACTCTCATTTGTGGAAACTACTATTGATAGTCAGCTCTCCACAAGTTAACAAAGAAAAATGGCATTTATTCAGTGTTCAGCTCTAACTGTATGCCCTTTAGCAACTACTTCAGTACCCAAATGATTATCTGAAAACTGATTTTAGAAAAAAGCTCCCAATAACTAAGGAGCATTTAATTGTACACAAGCGATTTTAGAAAAATATTTCAACAAGTCTTATAATTTTTTATTGATTTTTTTGGAGCACCATCCCCAACAACTGCCAAAAGAAATGAGATTCCCCATTCTAATTTTCACCTCAGTGGGAAGCATGGCATATTCGTTTCTTTTTCAAATAGGCTATATATAAAGCTATGTTATTGTCTACTGTATGTACTGTGTCGACTTTCAGGAAAACTAAAACAAAAAAAAGTGAAAAGTGTTTCAATTCTTTTGTTATTTATTTATTTTGAGTCAGAGTCTCACTCTATCACCCAAGTTGGAGTACAGTGGTGTGATCTCAGCTCACTGCAACCTCTGCCTCTTGGGTTCAAGCAATTCTTGAGCCTCAAGTCTCCTGAGTAGCTGGGATTACAGGCATGCACCACCACACCCAGCTAATTTTTTTTTTTTTTTGGTATTTTTAGTAGCGACTGGGTTTCACCATGTTGACTAGGCTGGTCTTGAACTCCTGACCTCAAGTGATCCACCTGCCCCGGCCTCCCAAAGTTCTGGGATCACAGGCTTCAGCCACCTCACCCAGCCTGTTTCAATTCTTTTAGAAAACATACTTTTAAAAATACCTCTAATGAAAAAATGAAGTTTCTTCCCCTCGAGAGATTCTATAGGCTTTTAATCTACAGCCAGACCAGAGATCCCAAATCCTTTCAAGTTAGCAAACACTCAGATAAGTCAAACTAAAACATCTTTGTATTTCTGGGAACAAAAAAAACTTCCTATTTCTCTGCCTAGGTCACCTGCACAGTAAATAACATTTACGCTGTATTTCGTGCCCAAGTTCAATGGCTCTGCACAACCTGGCATGCCTGTCAGCTTCCTCAGTGGCAGGGGTCCCCTCCTACTATCCATGGATACTACAAGCCTTCTTACAGGCTTTGGCTGCCCTCAGCCTTCACAGGAGCCCTTTCCCAGTTTTATTCCTTTGCAACATTATGATTTTCTTCTTTTGCTGTATTCAGATAACAATGTGGTTTCCTCAACTGTAACACTGGGATAATATCTACTCTAAATATACCACACAGCTGTTATGAGCAAATATCACAACTATGTTAAAGTACCTTTGAAAACTTTAATGTGCTGTAGAAGTGTCACTTTGCCTAGAAATACTCTGTACCCAAATCACATTTCTGGCTCTCTTTTAAATTCATTTGCCCACTTACTAACTTTCATTGCTCATCTTTGTATTTGTTCTTTTCATTGGGGTTTTAAATATTCTCACAGGCTACCCCTCAGATTTGGGATCTTCTTACTTAATATGTTAAATATTCTTCTGTCATTTGTGGAAATCTTCAGTATATCCCATCTCCACCAAGCTTTCCAAAACATTTTTTTAAAAAAAGCTACATAGCATTAACATACTATTATTACTCTATCAGTTAACTTTAGAGCTACATTTCATTTTCAATATACCTTTTAACAATCTTTCCTTATCATGAAAGAAAATGTACCAAAGAGGCAAAATTTGAGGAGTACAAATCAAAGAGAGTAATAAGAAAATATCCTCACCATTACACAGTTTAGATGCTTCCAAATTCTATGTTATTAATAGTGATTTGTACCAAGATATATCTCCACTGAAACAAAATTAATTTAAAAAGTCAAAAAAAAAATGTAAGGAACACACAAAAAATAGTGATATGCTAATAATGTCCTTGGGAAAAGGAATTAGGAAAAATAGACATGATTTCTTTAAATATAATCCTTTACTTTTTGATCTATAAAAGAGGGACATACACATTTAGAATGATGTGTCTTTTATCTGTTTTATGATCTTCAGTGTTTATGAAGAATCATAGCAATACCTGAAGGAAAGGACCAATAGTCAGACATGTCTTTTCTGAAAGTATATAACTACTATTTCTTTCTTTGGAGAACCCTGAGGCTGACAGCAGAGCTCCCAAATGATTAGTGAGACCTAAATAATCCATAAAAATGAGCATACTATGAAACAAGAGGGAGAGTTTAAACTTAGGCTTTTATCGATTACATTTTTCCTTTTATTTATTTATGTTTTATGAGTCCGAGTCTCACTCTGTCCCCCAGGCTGGAGTACAGTGGCAGGATCTCGGCTCACTGCAACTTCTGCCTCTCTGGTTCAAGCAATTCTGCCTCAGCCTCCTGGTAGCTGGGATTACAGGTGTGCGCCATCATGCCCAGCTAATTTTTTGTATTTTCAATAGAGACGGGGTTTCACTATGTTTGGACAGGCTAGTCTTGAACTCTTGACCTTGTGATCTGTCGGCCTTGGCCTCCCAAAGTGCTGGGATTACAGGCATGAGCCACTGTGTCTGGCCACATTTTTCCTTTTAAAAGTCCATAATTTAGAAATCCGAGGAAACTGTAATAGATTCAAGAAAGTATAAGACTGGAAAAAGCTGCCAGATAGCATCTTTTCTATGAGGAGTTTATTTGAAACTACTGAACCAAGTATAAATAAATTGATTCATTTTGATTTTTGTTCTCATCTTTGTTTGGAATTCTTCAACTTCTCTTGAGCTTACTTGCTCTTCGTAAGGACACTACATTTGAATTAGAAGTTGCATTCCAGAAATTTGGAATCAGCCACTCTGTACCACTAAAGGGGACAAGCTTTTCTCCTTGCCACTAGGAAACCTTTCCCAGACTGCATGGGAAGGGTGAGGCTGCTTTTGATTAGACTTGAGTGAACAAACAGCTGCCTTTAAAAAAGTGTTAGCAATTTAAAAATCATTAACTGGCTGGGCGTGGTGGCTCACACCTGTAATCATAGCACTTTGGGAGGCTGAGGCAGGTGGATCACTTGGGTCCAGGAGTTTGAGATCAGCCTGGATAAGATGGACAAACCCTCTTCTCTACAAACAATACAAAAATTATCTGAGTGTGGTGGTGCATGCCTATAATCCCAGCTGCTCAGGAAGCTACGGCAGGAGGATGGCTTAAGCCCAGGAGGCAGAAGTTGCAGTGAGTCCAGATTGTGCCACTGCACTCCAACCTGGGCAACAGAGAGAAACCCTGTCTCAAACAAAAACAATTATTAATTATGAGTTCATGGCTGAAAGCACGAATTTTGTCACATTATAAACATAGATGTTGAATGATACAATGGGTCATCTGGGGTTCTGGGAGCCACTGTTTGAGAACTGCTACTTTGGACAGGGGTTTGAAGTAAACATGGGGATGAGGAGACTGTGGTATTGGATGAATGAAGGGAGGGCAGAGTGGACTGGTTAAGTTAACCCACACTCCCCTCACCTATGACTAAAAGTCATGGTCCTTACAGCGGCCCCTCTTTACCTGGCCTCTGCCCATTT